TGTCATGTTGACTCCCTCAGTCACCCTCTCGTTTGAACTCTGAACTGTATAAAATATTTGACGATTCGCAAATGACATTATTGTACCCGAGAGTCATTATTGAAATATTCGTAATAATGAATATTAATTTATGTTTTATATTGTCAAACATTCGTCCTTTGTTAACACACCTACACACCCGATATTTAAGTTCAACTCTGTGATATAAATTATAAAGGAATTTGTTAGATACTAAGATAATTGTGTTATTCGGAGATTCGCGTGCAATTTTAATTATGAATACGAACAAAACATGGAAGATAATTATTATTGTTATTACTTATTGATAAGTGTACTAATTTTGATAGTAATATATAATTACTAAAATATTGCAGTATACAATATATGAGCACACTTTAAATTTAAAAATATTTTTTTGCAGTCAGTTAATATAGCATTGCAATACCTACTAACTGTTTAAGATGTATTATGTCTGTAAAATAACAGTCATGATTTATATTATTTTTAAGAAGACTTAATATAGTTGTGTAATTATATGCACGTATTAATTTGTTGTACTATAACTATAGAAAGCTATTATATGAACAATTTAAATTGAAACCCTGGTTAACGATATGATATAATATAATTCATATTATGAAATAACATTTTTAATATGGAAATAAGGGTTTAAGTAAGATTTAGAATAACGTTGCATTTGCGATATGATCGCAAAAGCGTACCCACATACACACAATAATTTAGTATCGCAAATGCTAAGTTTAAAAGAGTTCATATGATTATAAATAACCGAAATAAATAATAATATTCCATCTTTCAATATAACATTCCATCTTTCAATATAATATTAATAAATGTATGTTCAACCCGATAGAAGATTCCGACACGGCGTCTTGGTTATGCAAAATAAACTACATTTGTGTTCGTAATACACGCAAAATCGTTTCAAATTAACAGGCTTGTCATTTACACGATACAGTCTTCTAATGTTTTGTATTGTATTCAAAGCAAATACGGGCCAGACATAATAATATATAATTGTTATTTGTTCACTATCAAAAGACAGTGTTGCTGTGTGCCCCCGAAGGTTAAAGATATACGGAACGTAAGGATTATATAATAATATATAAATTGTAATTATTTATAAATAATAAATTCCAATAAAAGATATTATTTTAAGTACAATATTGATATAGTATTTGCACTAAATTTTCCGCAATACATGATTAAAATTACAGTGTATTGATTATATCGAAATAAATATGATTAACTGCAGGGTATGAAAAACACAAGATCGACAAATTATTTTTTTTCTTTATAATTTATAATTTTCACGATAAACCTTAACTTTGTTTAGCTTTATTTTTACAAATAATTATAAAATCTATTTATGAAATTATACCAGCATGTTCTTTGTTATTTATTCATTTAAATTTATCGATTTAAAAATATTGTACACTTAATCTTTATAGACGTAAATAAACCTAATCGGTTGAGCGCAGAGCTCCCCCCCCCTACACTGATAAAATGTGCCGGTGGCGATGGGATGAACAATAACTCAATTTATCAATAAGCCAATATAATACGTAAACGATCATTTTGTTTGTAACTAAATTTAGAGTACACGGATAATAATAATAATAATAACATCAAGCTTTTCAAAATATACACGATTATGACGTGGAACACAATTATTATAACATGGTCGCTCTGTTAAACTTTTGGTAAACGTGGACGGTGCATGCGTGAGCTTAATATAATAATATGACGGTTGGTTCGTGGAACAGATAAAGGTCGCATTAAATATTTTGGGAAATTATCAAAATTTGAATAATTCTCTCAAAGCAACTCTAATGCACGAAAGCCAAAACTTTGAAACTGGACGGTCCGATTGTATATGTTTTATCAGACCGTGGCCCTCGGGCGTTTTGCGTTGGCGAGTTTAATTCCAAATTGGTATTCAAAAACCAAAATTGTCCGCCCTCGCTGTTTATCCGATGGTCAAATATTATATTACTATTACATGTTTATGAATATGACCAGAAGGGTTTCCGGATTATGTAAAACACCGAGCTATTGTACGCGTATAATACGTATGTGTATTTACTTAGTCTTGGTCGATTTTTCGACCGGTTTTATTTTTAGCTTTGTCCCGTAATAATTGTTACAATATTCGTATTATGTTTTATAATAATTTATAAAATATTACCCATTGTCACGCTGTTACACATAATAATCGTTTAAAACACATCGTTCACCGATAGTTGTAAAGTAGATATTATTATATCGACATTTAGTTAATATTATAACAATATATAATATAATAATATTTTAAGAATGTTTCGTTCTAATTAAGTGGTATGGATAGTATTGAACAATAATTCTATGAAAATGTACTTATTTGTAATTCCAATAATATGGTCTATTGAGCGGTTTGAGAGTAAATGCACATACACCTATTGTCAATATTGTAGAAGAAAAGTTAATCCATGTCCGTATACAAGTCAATTTTCAATGTTTGAAATACTTAACTCAATGATTCAAATTCAAAAAGTAAAATGTTTCCAAGTCTTAGAGGTAAATATTGGACATTGGAAATAAAATATCGAAAATCGACTAATATATGAAAGTAGATAAACTGATTCTCTTCAATTTGTATGATAGGTGTTCACACTGTAGTGCCACTCAAGTAAGATATATTATTTGAAATACGGAACTGAGTTTCAGTATTCGCTAAAATTTACATTTGAAATTAGTGGGTAAAATTCTGCTTAACTGACATGTGCGTGCAAGTGCGAGTGTCCTCAGGTATTTATTTCATACATAGTCACTCATCCCTAATGATCACGTACTTCACATTTACACGACCCCCGTGCGAACAAATAGAAAATCGCCTAAATTTAACTCCTTAGAAACGGTCGTACCCCTTAAATTCAACAGACGGAATTAACATCATCAGGTGTTATACTCGATCGTATTATATGTATTTTTTTTTTACATTTTTGACGCCATTTGAATTAGATGTATTTTACTTTGGCTGTACGGTGCTCGTTGAACCTAAACTAAATTATACTTCCACACGAACTGTGAGTTGCAGAACGATTATAGCAGTTATGATTTCACTAATTTATATTTCTCACAACTGGGAGCAATCGTCCAATAACCTATTTATATCGCGTTGGTTAGGTTTAATTGGTTTGATTTGTATTTTAGTTTAGTTTACTGGAAAAAAATATCTCAAGACGCATCGACAGAACTATTCGCTGTTCACTTTTCGGTATAAAACGTTTCGGACGAACGACAAACCTCGTCCGACAGATGTCGTGGCGCATTCCTATTACAACGCAAAATATTATTATCAACAAAACGAAATCGAATCGCAATGAATCAAAACGCACAACAGGTGCGACCTTTTAAATGGCACGATATTGTGTCGATGCTAATGACGTTGATTATAATAAACAGTCTTCTTTACAGTCTGTGTCTGGGTGAGCTCGCGATTTGTTTGTTCTCGATTTTCCGGCACACAGCACTGCAGACGTCCGTAAAGGTTAATATTATTACCGAGGACTTTGCTGCGACGACTATGATAATAATAATAATTGTTATTTGGCTTTCATCCTCTGGGGGGGGGGGGGGACAACGGCACTCGAAAGCCATAGATATCCGGTGGAAGTGAGACCGCGGCCCGACGAAATACTCGGTCTCTGTTATTACTATACCTAAGACATCTCACTCGTCAAACACGAAATGTCCACAGATACCAGATACCGGGCCGAGATGGTTGTTCGAAGGATGATAATAACAATAATATTATAATATAATGGCCGACGACTATACATTATACAATGGCGTTTTCCCCGCGGAGACTATATATTAGGTATAATATTGTAATTATTATAAAGGCTATGGCCTCTGCAGTAGTGCTGGTAATATTAAATCATATAATTCCCGAATAATATACATTATTATTATTATTATTATTATTATTTCTTTTTCGTTATTATAAATAATAATAATAATATAAATGCGTAGCGGGCTAATACGATATTACCATAACAATAACTATTATTATTATTGTCGTTGTTACGATATTATTATCGTTATCTCACCGCTCAGAGTCGTTTGTTCGTCAGTTCGGCTCGACACGTCAACCGCCGAGGTAATGACAAAGTACGAAGAGTGTTTATAACAAGACGGTAACAATGTAACAATTATACGGAAGGCGATTTTTTTTTTAGCTTTTAATTGAATATAAATAATAATATTATACTGCACCGGAAATAACGGCGTAACGCGACGTCCGCCCTTCAGCCGTCGTCGTGCGATGGTATCAACCGTGGTTCTGGTCGCTCCACCGGTCCGGTATGCTGTTGTGTGGGGGGAGGGGGGGGAGAGACGATTTTCCGAGACTTCGCCGACGACGGTACTGGCTTATAAACCGTATAATAATATTATAATAATGTGCTCTGTAATTGGACGCGTCCTCTTCGCGTCGTTACGACTCCCATAAACATTTGCATTATTCGAATTTCAACAGCGGTATTGACGTAGATGTTGTACGCATTATAATATAGGTACATAACTATGCCCAAACCCCCTCTCCCTTGTACCCGATTTTGTTATATTATAATAATAATATATATATATACATTTATCGTGGAGGAAATACGCGCTGTTCGCAATTTTTTTTAATAAGACCGTTCGTTAAAAAAAACATGTCTCGGACCCGACGAGATGTTTATTTCAAAACACACACACTGTCCCATTATTGTACAAACCGCATTTCGCTTGTCGCTGTGCAGTGTAGGAGGTACATATTATAGATTATAGGCCATAATATCGAAAAAATAAAAGCGAAAAGAAAAATAGCGAAACTAAAATAGTGAAAAAAATAAAAGCGAAGTGTATATAATTACGAAATCGAAAATAGCGAAAAAATATTATTGTAATAAGTACAAGTATAAAAATATAATACAAAAAAATTCACAAAATTATAGTTACATTTGTAGAGTTAAATTGTAAGCGATACCTTTTAAATAATTAATGTTGTCGTTAATATTGTAAGACAAGGTTAAATTACGTATTTTTTCTGAACAATTTTTATATATTTTTTTTTGATGTTTTTTGGCACCAGCAATGAACTGTTCCAGTTTAATGTCCTCTAAATGTTGCTGATCTTTCAACACATCGATAAATGTCCATAATGTTGGATGATATGCACCTTAAATTATAAACAAATTATAAACATTATAAATTATATTGAATTAAAATATAAATTATATACTAACCAAGTAATGAACTGAAACCTCTATGCCAATCTTCTACTGCATTGTTAGTCCTTGGTAATAAAGTGCTTGCCGATTCGTAACAATTCCATAAACTAATTGAATACTTTGGTGATCTACGACCTTTTCTTCGACCCACTGGGCGGCCTATCCAGGTGTCTTCAAAGTAGTCAATAAGTGGTTGTAAAATGTTTTCGTTATCTGTGTAGTATGGTGAATCTATTAATTCTTCAAACGCATCTATCACATGATTTTCTGGTACATATGCTAATGCTAATAAGAGCCGTATCTGTATTGAAAATGTCGAATCTGATATATATTTTTGGGCCATATATTGAATTTGTTGTATTTTACGCCAAATACATTGGGAAAAATGGAAATGGCATCCTTTTTGTTTTACATTAGGAAATACTTCTTTAAATGCATTAATTGATGCCATTTCAAAATCTGACATAATTGATGTTGGCGATAAAGTTGATTTAATTGTTTTTAATTGTTTAAGGAGGTGTACATATGTTTTTTGTGATTTGTTTGGTAATAAAGCGTAAACAGTTGGTATCAACGAATTTGTTGTTAATACGTGTATTGTGTAAATTTGAGTGAAAAGTGTCGGAGTGCACTTAAATGTACCATCAACGAACCAATTATTATATTTTTCCATTAATTCTAGATTCTCTTTTGTAAAAAATATTAAAATACGTTCATCTGATGGGCCGCTATCGTACTGCATGAATTGCCTTCCATCTTTAGTTAAAGTATACCTTTCGGGTATTTGGAGGTTAAAAAGTGACTGAGGATTCGGCGGTGCACAATCATTACGTTGGCGTACTCTTCTTAACGTGTGTTTTAAATTAGATATTTCGGGTAATGCACCTGATATCACTGGATTTAATTGTGATGAAGCGATTATTTGTTGAGGGTTATCTTATGACGATAGTGCTTGGGATTTCATTCTCTCGACTTCTTTTTTTACTTCTAATTTGCATATATCTGGAACGTGGTTATGCTCTGAAGGCTCTTTTTTAATTATATTATCACTTGTAGTTGTTAATCGACCCTTACATTTCATATCTATACATTTCCAATACTTCGATTCCTTGTACATTTTTTCCTCTCTATATGTATAACTATTATAAACTAGTAAAAGCTTATTTTTATTAGATTTAATGAATTCCATAACTTAAAAAATCAAATTTAAAAAATACAGTTCATATAAGAAATATAATAATAAGCACAACACTTTGCAAACGATAGTCACGTTGTCGAACGTCGTACAAAACTATTTGATGTCCATAAGTATAGGTTACATTATGTACACTATTCACGACAAAACGACAAAAGCGATAACGGATATTACCTTGAGTCACAATAATAATGACAGACTAATAAAGATTACATTATTCCCTAATCTTTGTTTAATATTTACTATAAAAACAAGAGTTTTCCCCTAAACATTCGATATATTATTTTTCGCTATAATTAAGTTTCGTTATTTTTATTTTCGATATTTTTAATTCGCTATTCTTCTATTCGCTATTTTTTTTTCGCTATTTTGGCCGGTTACCCATATGATACCTGTATTGTGGATTTCGTGGACAAACAATAACAATAATTCGGGTATTTTTTTGTTACTGCAAGAATCATTATTATTATTTTTTATTTTTACGTATACTTGACCATGACGCACCTCTCCGTTTGTTTTCCGTCTCTGATTCCAGACGGTTCGTGAAATACTCGAGTTATTACTTCCGGAAAATCAACACATAAAATAAACTCGCAATATCTTATAATATATGTATAGTAATGTTTTCCGCACCACAATATATTATACGTACTCGAAACTGCGCATAAAGTTTATAGCTTACCAGTTACCATATATAAATGTGTAAGTGTATCGGTGTGTGTGGTAATAAGATTATTTTCTCGGCGATCCGTCGTTCGATTACTATAATAATATCGCGTGCGAGAGCTCTTAACTCTTGACATTTCGATGTGATTCGCATTGAAATATTGTTGTCGAGCAAATATACGGTAGTTAGGTTAAAAGCTTCTGTGATGTGAAAGGATTTCCCTGCTACGGAGTGTGTATATACAGAGGACGGCCGCCATCGATGTCCGTAGCGGATATATCGTTCGGTATAGTCGTACATACAAGTAGTAAACCCTGCAAAGATCGTATAACCACGACTATCATAATATAGACGCATAGACTTGCCCGTACATATATAATATGATATAATAGCTGCAGTAATGATAAACGCAGCCGAATAATTTTTCGGGAAGATAGGATATCGGGGAACGCGGAGGGACGGGGAAAAAAACAAATAAACCTAAGTGGACGAACGTTTTTAGGCTCTCGGGCCTCTCTCCATATACGTACATGGTTCGTAATAGTGTGACGGCTGTATACGGTTGGTGTGAGGGTGGGGGACACGCGAGTATGATGATATTATACAAGGGTTGAGGGGTGGGGGTGAGTGGGAGGGAGGGTAAAAGCGGCGGAGAGTAATGGCCGAAATTCCGGTCGGAGAGGGACCGTGTCCAGACGTGTCCCTTTGTTTTACAGCCTATCATAAATAATACCGGGCACGTCACCCAGATTTGTCTTATTCGCTGTATAACAAGTTTTTTGAGACTTCCAAATACACTTCGATGCTTGTGTGTGTGTTTTCGTATAGTATAATATCGAATGAAATACGAGCAGATAAATTTGTTCGCAAAGGCCGGTCGGAAATTTATCTACTAGGGAAATCATACAAAACACTACACACCGACTGCGTATAATAATATTATCGTGCAGGGACTATATATATAGTTTACGGTATTATATTATATTTTATACGTACAATAAAAACGGAACACTAAGAGTCCCATACCACTTAGCTAAAATATAACAAATCGGATGGCGAATTACGTACGATATATTATAATAATATTCCTACGAATCTGTACGCACGTATATATTAAGCAAATGGATCAGTTGTTTTAGATCGTAATAAATCACAACGGTTATTGAATATTTGTTTGTATTATAAAAATGAAAACTATAAAAAAAAAGATACACACACACACACATAATATTATTTGGAGTATATTCTTCGTATATGTATAATATTATGTAATAAATTATTGTTTAGAATAATGTTTCGACGACGTTACAGTGTTATTTGACCCCGTAAAAGTTTAATTTACAAAAAAAAAAAAAACGGTGGTAGCGTATAATATAATATCACGTCCTCTGAGGAAACCTCAAAAACAGAAAATCCGAGTTAGGTGTATCCGAGAAGAAAATATATCGGAGTAATTTTACCTTTTACGATTTTAATATTTTCAATGGAACGTCGTTTTTCATAAAAACGTCACACAGTTTCGGGTCATTCAGGTCACTAGGGGAAAAAAAGTATGTATACACATAACATCAACTCGAATATATATAGTTTGCCCGGGACAAAGCCAAAGGAGCATTTTATTTTTATGAATTATGTAATATGTGGTCATTTGTGCCGGTGGAGTCGCGCCGCCCGAGATTCTTTATTTTTGTCAACGTGTTCGGCATTTTTCATCGTCACTGTCGTTGACTCTCACAGAAAAATCTTAAGAATAATGATCTAAGTCCCAGATAAATGAGCGGTATCTCATATAATGGATGGCTTTCGGTAACCAGTTTTTTTTTATATATATACCTATATAATATTTAATAAATACTCGACGTGAGTATTTTGATTGGTTACGGTGTCTTATTCTCTATTGTGAGTACACTGTATAGGTAGTGCTGCAGTAGTCGTATAACTTAACTCATTGAAAGTCGTTCACCGCTGGTATTACTATTAAATAAACAGATTTATTTAGACCGTCCGGTTCTCGCGAAATTACTCAACGTGGATTCGTTGTTCAATATGAAAATATTTGAGTTGTAAGTATCATATTATATTTCTCTCCCAAATCGTCGATTTATTTGTAAAAACACTTAAACCTATTATAATCAATTAACACTTCCAAATTATTCGACAAAATTTCGGAAAAAATTAATCGATCGAACTTAGACCAACGATTTACAAGAAAAAATACCATACAAATAACACCACGTACAATATTCTTGTTGTATTATATTGTTATGATTATACCTGTTGTATTTAGGGTACTCTTAATCAAGCTAAAAGTTGTGCCATACCGGTATTACCTGCAGTTCAAGGTCATCACAGCTCGTAAATACAGTAGCTATAATGCACTCAAAAACTTCCAAACTTACCTTAAATAGGATGTTCTGTAAGTACATCAATTTAAGTTCTTTGTCACTTTATAGTAACCAACATAATATATTCATTATGGGTCAGTCAACGGCCTAAATACGAATTTTAAAAAGTGATAATGGTCTTGTCCGAGTAACATAATTAATGGATGACCACATAAAGTGTCAAGGTGAAAACTTGTAGTTTAATACAATAATATTAATGTAATATTAATTATTATACTATACTGTCAGTGGTATAATTAAAACATGGATTTTCATTTTAGTACAAAATAATCTAAAAAAAAAAAAAATTATTATAATTTATTATAATATCATTCTGCGTACTATTTCCTACATAAAATTATTTTTCAAACTTTTTTCTGAAACGTGTTATTTAATATATAGGTACATATAATAAGACGTTACGTCAATCACTATTTCTTGAATATATTGTTTGGAGAAAAGTTTGTAGGCCACATAAATCTTGAGAAAAATTAATTAATGGAGTTACATGTTTTCTACATTATTAATGAGTTATATAAATTTAAAAAAACTTGTAAAAGTTAAAATGCATAGCTATGAAAAAATAACTACAATAATAATAAATATTATTATCGTGGCTGAACTACATAATTATAGGTACGTTATACATATAGGTTTAATTATTCTCAGAATGTTAATTTTTAGAACAAAAATGCATTTAACTGAATTTTTTGATAAAAATATAGTGTATTATTGTTGATTTATCTTTTTTCTTATTACCAAAAAATTTAGTAAAAAATGGCTGATCGTAAACATGTAAAATCACAAATCACCGATGATTTAGTATGTTCAGAACATTGAAATTAACAATCACGTTTAAAAATGGATACCATTTTTCGATTGAGTAACATATTATACATCGCATACATATTTGACATTAGGGTATTAAGTTTAATTGAAACCCAATCGTTACATTTAATCTCACTTTAATTGCCTTGCGATTTTATTTAAACCAGTGATACTTGTACCTGTACTTACAGTACGAGCATATATATTGTAATACCTAATTATTGTTCGATAACATTTTACGCCTTTACAGGTTCGTTGAATGGGATTTTTGGGCTGTCTCCTTGTTTGACAGACGGGGTTAAAGGATCTGCCATGGTAGGCCACACCAGGGTAACCGTTAATGTAAGCGACAAAAGACCTCGGCAATTTGGAAAACCTCGAGGAAAACAAAATATATCCAAAAAAGCACTTTACCATGTCGATACAATAGACGACCCCCATTCATCAAACAAACAAGACACATTCCACCTCACCCTTTCTACCACCAAACATCTACAGGCTTCCCACACTGCACACACATATATATATATATATCGGCGTGTATCCGTTAAAAGCGCCTTTTGTTTTTAATAAATTTTAAAAGCTCTCCAAGAGTCTAATGCTTAGACATAAGACGAGACCATTTTCTGATTAAATTACGCAGGACCTTGGCCGGGCGTGTTGTTTTTAGAAAATAAGCAAACAAATAAAAAAAAAAAAGAAAGAAGCAAAAAGATATAACGTCTTTTGTAAAACGACTTTACTCATCCGAAAACCGGTAATAAATCGCGTCTTGGCAAAACAATTTTGATAGGATTTCACGGGTCAGTACACAGCGTAAGCGTCTAACTGAATGTACCCGACCGAAGGCGCAAACGGCTAAAGATAACATCATGCGAAAACATTTATTCGTGCTCTTAGCGCGAATAATCGAAAATCCCACTTGCTGTGTATTTAAAAAAAAAATAAAAAAAATAGAAAAAAATCGGTCGGGTTGGATTAATGTTAAAAATATACTTAATTCAATATACTTCTACAAGAGTGTGAACCGCGGGGTAGGACGTTTTTACTTTTTAGTTGAGATCGTGCGTAGTTATAAATTATACGTCATAATAAATAATAATATTTTTAATTAA